ATAAGCCTATACAACAAAACAAGACTAATGTGGTACACCAGCCCAGGGGCAAGGACAAGAAGGCAGGATGGTACAGGAAAGCTGGTAATAGGGAACCGAAGGTTGAGAAGGGAGAGTGTTGACATGTCATGGGGTTGGTAACCAATGTCATAAAACAATATGTGTACTGTTTAATGAGAAGCCAGTTTGTTCTGTAAACCTTCATCTAAAGTACAGTTTAAAAAAAAAAAAAAAAGAATGCACACACATTGGTGCCTAATGCATAGTAAGGGATTGATAAATGCTAGCTGTAGTTATTATCATTCATAATTTCTCTAACACTTAAAGTGATAAAGTCTTACCTGCAGAAGCAGCCCCACTCCATTATACATTTGTTCTTTCATCCATTCACCAGATTGAGCACTTACGATGTGACAGACACTAAGGTGCTAGGGATAAAATAGTGAGCTCACTTGCAATATGATAAACTAATGTTCTTAGACCCAATTTCTGTTCCCTTCCCTTCTGTGTTTTTACATGCTAGGTTCTCAGTGAGCAGGGGTTGAGTTTCTGCTACCTGCCAGGCACTGTGGTAACCACTGCCAATACAGAGATGAATATAGCATAGGACTTGCTCTTTGTAGTTGGCTTTCTAATACAAGAGGCTGTTACATAAACATACAAATTAAGCAGGAGCAAAGCATTGTGGGCAGCTATATCTTTGTCGTGTTTTTCTTTAATTTTGTGTTCTGTATGGGCAGAAGACATTCTCTTTTTTCTCTTCATCTGTGTTTAACTTCTCACGTCACCATATGTGAGAAGCTACTTTGGTATTCTCTGACCTCCTGACTGTTGTTGTTACTTCTCCCAGATGGATTCTTCAGAGCAGGTGAGGTGGACAAGAAAAACAAAGCAGTGACCTCATTACCTAATGTTTTATTGCACTATCTGTAGACTTATTACATTAGAATAAGAATGACCCTAGAGACTTTTGAAGTCCCGGTATGGTGCAGTTAAGCCCTCGAGTGCTAACCAAAAGGTTGCTGGTTTAAACCCACCCAGAGGCACCTCAGAAGAAAAGCCTGGCAATCTGCTTCTGAAAGGTCACAGCCTTGAAAACCCTATGGAACAGTTCTACTCTACACACATGGGGTCACCATGAGTCGGAATCAGCTTGACGGCAATGGGTTTGGTTTGGATTTTGGTTAGAGATCTTTAGTTTAGTCTTCTCACTCTGCAGATAGGGGAACTGAGGCTGAGATAGATGAAGTGAAATGTTTAATTTCAAACACTTAAAGGGTGGTAGAGCTAATATCAGAACCCTGGAATTGTGTCCAACTTTCTAATGTTTATTTTTTCAGTCAAAAAGTAGAGATCACCAAGTTCTATTCTCCAAACTCAGCTGAACACAAGCCCTGTCATTTTCTATCCTACAGACCACAGGTGAGCCTGCTTCTTTCTGCACAGGGCTGTGAGCACAGCCCAAAGTCAGGCAGCCAAGGCTGTAGCCCAGCTCCCCACCTATTAACTGGGTGAACTTATTTCATTATCTGTAAAATGGGATAGCAGTGTTTACATCATGAGGTTGCTGAAAGGATTAAAATGAATTGAAACAAATAAAGCCTAAGAACTGAGACTGGCAATTGTTGTCAGCTGCCATTGAGGCCCTTGACTCATGGCGACTCCGTGCACAACGGTCCTGCACCATCCCTATGACCAGTTGGGGATTGGGCTGTTGGGTTTTCATTGGCTGATTTTCAGAAGTAGATCAGTAGACTTTTCTTGCTGGCAGTTGTTGTTGTTGTTAGGTGCCATCAAGTCGGTTCCTAGTCATAGTGACCGTATGCACTACAGAATGAAACACTGCCCGGTCCTGCACCATGCTGACAATCATTGTTACTCTTGAACCCATTGTTGCAACCACTGTGTCAACCCATCTCATTGAGGGTCTTCGTCTTTTTCCCTGACCCTGTACTTTACCAAGCATGATGTCCTTCTCCAGGGACTGATCCCTCCTGACAGCATGTCCAAAGTATGTAAGACGTAGTCTCACCATCCTTCCTTCTAAGGAGCATTATGATTGTACTTCTTCCAAGACAGATATGTTCATTCTTTTGGCAGTCCATGGTATATTCAATATTCTTCACCAGCACCACAATTCAAAGGTGTCAATTCTTTTTTAGTCTTCCTTATTCATTGTCCAGCTTTTGCACGTGTATGATGCGACTGAAAATACCTTGGCTTGGGTCAGGCGCACCTTAGTCTTCAAGGTGACATCTTTGCTTTTCAACATTTTAAAAAGGTCTTTTGCCACAGATTTGCCCAATGCAATGCATCTTTTGATTTCCTGACTGCTGCTTCCATGGGTGTTGATTGTGGAACAAGTAAAATGAAATCCTTGACAACGTCAGTCTTTTCTCCATTTATCATGATGTTGCTTATTGGTCCAGTTATGAGGATTTTTGTTTTCTTTATGTTGAGGTGTAATCCATACTGAAGGCTGTGGTCTTTTATCTTTAGCAGTAAATGCTTCAAGTCCTCTTCGGTTCCAGCAAGCAAGTTGTGTCATCTGCATAACACAGGTTGTTAATGAGTCTTCCTCCAATCCTGTTGCCTCTTTCTTCTTCATATAGGCCAGCTTCTAGGATTGTTTGTTCTGCATACAGATTGAATAAGTATGGTGAAAGGATGCAACCCTCATGCACACTTTTCCTGAGTTTAAACCATACAGTATTGTCGCAGCAGCGGCAAATGTCGGGACGGCGGAGACAGTAACCAAACACAACTCTTACAGAGAAGTGGGGCCAGGAGGGTCACTCTGAGGAGTCGACCCTCAGCTTCAGTCCCAGGAGTTTATTTATAGTCAATACAGCAAGCAGTGAAGCAAATAACAGAACAATGGGCTTTGGGTGAGTAACATTAAGTTTTGGGCGAGGGAGAAGGAATTCAGGTAAACAAGCCAATCAGCAACGGGACAATAGATTTGGAAAAACAAGTCATGACAAGTCTCAACATGTTGGGGACAAGTCTCAACATGCTGTGCAGCATAGAGGCCTGTGGGAGCTGCAGTTGTCAATAGTGCAGCCATGTTTAAATGGCATATATCCCCACATTTCCCCCCTTTTGTTTAGTTAATGGAATAAGAATCAAGAGGGTTTTCACTGGTCCAACAAGTGTCCGTTAGGACAAAGTAAAATTTTCTCTACGAGATAAAATCCAAGATTATCTCAGCTACTGTCTCCACACCTCAGGGCCTGGCATCTTAGTGAGTCCTTGTGAGCCCAGCTACAGCTGGGGCACACTCTATATGTTTAAGGAGGAGAAGTAGCACAGCTATGAGTAACACCTGGACTTAGTCACCTAGATGGCGGCCATAGCAGGCTCTTTAAACTCACGGTGCTGGTTTTCCACCGGATACCGTCTGGTTTTTCACCAGGTTGTTACTTAATGCCTGGGCTTAATGTTCCTAGATGGCGGCCGTAGCAGGCTCTTTAAACTCACAGTGCTGGTTTTCCACTGCATACCATCTGGTTCTTCACCAGGTTACTAAGTAAGAGCGATGCTCTTATCAATTGCATAGCCGGAGTGAGCAGACTCAATGTGCCTTTTAGGTGTGTATGGCAATAGAGGATGATCTTCAAAAGATATTATACTGTTGGACCAATGGGTTTCCTCTGACTCTCATTTTATCAGGTAAACACTAACTTTTAACATCCACTGAAATTATTATTCTTAAAGGCTTAAAGATTTATAAAGGCTCAAAGAATCATTAACAATCAAACAAGCAATAATTTACACAGCTTTGCCGTTACGTGGAAGGGAATCACTAGGAAGGGTAATTTACACATCATAACAGATTTAACAATCAAACAAACACTAATTTACACAAATTTACTATCAATTGGAAAGGAATCATCTAACTTAGAAATCTATCTGTACAGAAGCATCTAACTAGGAGAAGGAGAAAATATAGAGGAATTTACACATAACAAATTTTCACTGGGAACTTACTGATTAACAAATTACTGATTAACAAGATAATATAGGATGATTATTGAGGATTGATTATCACGAGGGAAACCATAGCTAGAAACAGGTTTTCAGGTGTAAGTGGGGCACCTGTAGTTGAGAGGATATGCTCAGCTTTGGAGGAGAGGGCTTTCAGACCTCCGCATGTTACCGGTATTGTAGATCTCCATTGTTCAGTGTCCATCCCCGGGGGAAGGGGTGATTTCGGGTTGGATGGCAGCACTTCAGTGTTCATCCCCGGGGGAAGAGGTGCCAGTGTCAGTTGTAGCTCTGGAGTCGGGTCGGATGGCGGCTGCCGAACGGGTGGTGGCGGTGGTTCAGAGAAGGGAAGGGAAGGGGCGGAGGCGCAGGGCAGAGTGTGCCGTTGTGCAGGGGAGCCGCAGCGTGGGGCATGTCTGGGACCCCTAGTCGTGGCTGGAGCGCAAGGCCTGCTTTCGCCTGCCCAGAGCCTCTAGGTGGGGCCGTCCTGGGCAGCGACACCCCAGGCGACCGGGCCAGTGAGCCCAGGCAGTGGCAACCCGGGACTGGGCTCGGAGCACCGCGGGAGACGGAGCGCGGGCCGCGCCACAGCCAGAGCGGGCCAAGCCCCGCCGCCGCTCCTTCCGCTGGCCCCGCCACCGGCCATGCATTCTTCCGGCTCCTCCGGCTCCCGCAGCGCCGGCTGGGGCCTGGTCAGCCCGAGGCAGCCCCGAGGGGAGGAGGGCACCCGCTTGCACCGCCGCCTGCCGAGAAGGACAGGACAGACTCCAGTGTGAGAATGGCGGCAGTTCCCATCGGAAGGGTGGTGGCTGTCGCTGGGTCATGATATGGTCTTACTAATTGAGCAGGAATCCAAAGTGGACCTGTAGGAGACAAAACAGCCGCATACCTTCGCCCCCAGGTTAGTAATTCTACAGGTCCTTGCCAGACAGTTTTTGAGGATCTTTATAGAGGACCTGTGGGCGAGGTCTGGTGTCAGGGGGGATAAAATGTCGTTCTGCAGCGGTACGACCATCTTTGGCAACCGATAAAATGTTAAAAGTAAAGAGAGCTTTGGCAAGTCTTTCATTCTGGTCCAATAGTCTAGACCCATCACAGTATCCACTTGTTCTGTCTGAACAACTGCCTCTTGATCTGTGTACAGGTTCCTCATGAGCAAATTAAGTGTTCTGGAATTCCCATTCTTTGCAATGTTATCAATAATTTGTTATGATCCACACAATCGAATGCCTTTGCATAGTCAATAAAACACAGGTAAATATCTTTCTGATATTCTCTCTTCCAGCCAGGATCCATCTGACATCAGCAATGATATCCCTGTTTCCACGTCCTCTTCTGAATCCAGCCTGAATTTCTGGCAGTTCACTGTCAACATACTGCTGCAGCCTCTTTTGAATGAACTTTAGCAAAATTTTACTTCTGTGTGATATTCGATAATTTCCACATTCGGTTGGATCACCTTTCTTGGGAATAGGCGTAAATATGGATCTCTTCCAGTTGGTTGGCCAGGCAGCTGTCTTCCAAATTTCTTGGCATAGACGTATGAGCACTTCCAGCGCTGCATCCATTTGTTGAAATATCTCAGTATTCCGTTAATTCCTAGAGGTTTGTTTTTTGCCAATGGTCATATGCTACCTCTTGAAATGGTTGAATGTTGCCCAATTCTTTTTGGTATAATGACTGTGTGTATTCCTTCCATCTTTTTTTTTTGATGCTTCCTGCATCGTTTAATATTTTCCCCCAGGATCCTTCACTATTGCAACTCGAGGCTTGAATTTTTTCTTCAGTTCTTTCAGCTTGAGGAATGCTGAGCATGTTCTTCCCTTTTGGTTTTCTATCTCCAGGTCTTTGCACATGTCATTGTAATACTTTACTTTGTCTTCTCGGGCCACCCTTTGAAATCTTCTTTTCAGTTCTTTTACTTCATCATTTCTTCCTTTTGCTTTAGCTGCTCGACATTCAAGGGCAAGTTTCAGAGTCTCTTCTGACATCCGTTTTGTTCTTTTCTTTTTTCCTGTCTTTTTAATGACCTCTTGGTTTCTTCATGTATGATGTTCTTGATGTCATTCCACAACTCCTCTGAACTTCAATCATTAGTGTTCAACGCATCAAATTTATTCTTGAGATGGTCTCTAAATTCAAGTGGGATATACTCAAGGTCGTACTTCGACTTTCATGGAGTTTTTCTAATTTTCTTCAGTTTGAACTTGGACTTGCATATGAGCAATTGATGGTCTGTTTGGCAGTTAGCCTCTGGCCTTGTTCTGACTGATGATATTGAGCTTTTCCATCAGCTCTTTCCACAGATGTAGTCGATTTGATTCCTGTGTATTCCATCTGGCGAGGTCCGTGTGTATAGTCACCGTTTATGTTGGTGAAAAAAGGTATTTGCAATGAAGAAGTCTTTGGTCTTGCAAAATTCTATCATGTGATCTGTGGCATCATTTCTATCACCAAGGCCATATTTTCCTACTACCACTCTTTCTTCTTTGTTTCCAACATTTGCATTCCAATCACCAGTAATTATCAATGCATCCTGATTGCATGTTCGATCAATTTCAGACGGAAGAAGTTGGTAAAAATCTTCAATTTCTTCATCTTTGGCGTTAGTGGCTAGTGCAGAAATTTGAATAATAGTCATATTAACTGGTCCTCCTTTTAGGCGTATGGATATTATCCTATCACTGACAACATTGTATTTCAGGATAGATCTTGAAAGTTCTTTTTGACAATGAAAGCAACGCCATGCCTCTTCAAGTTGTCATTCCCAGCATAGTAGGCCATATTGTTGTCCAATTCAAAATGGCCAATACCAGTCCATTTCAGCTCACTAATGCCTAGGATATCTATGTTTATGCATTCCATTTCATTTTTGATGATTTCCAATTTTCCTAGGTTCATACTTTGTACATTCCACGTTCCAATTATTAATGGATGTTTGCAGCTGTTTCTTCTCATTTTGAGTCTTGCCACATCAGCAGCAAATGAAAGTCCCGAAAGCTTGACTCCATCCACATCATTAAGGTCAACTCTACTCTGAGGAGGCAGCTCTTCCCTAGTTGTCTTTTGAGTGCCTTCTAACCTGGGGGGCTCATCTTCCAGCACTATATCAGACAGTGTTTCACTGCTGTTCATAAGGTTTTCACTGGCTAATTCTTTTCAGAAGTAGACTACCGGGTCCCTCTTCCTAGTCTGTCTTAGTCTGGAAGCTCAGCTGAAACTTGTCTGCCATGGGTGACCCTGCTGGTATCTGAGTACCAGTGGCATAGCTTTCAGCATCACAGCAACACACAAACCCCCACAGTATGACAAACTGACAGACAAGTGCTCGGTAAATATTGGCCATTATTGCAATTATTACTCCCACTGTCCTCCAGTTGCTTATGATAGTCGATTTGATCTCTAACTCCCAACATTGTGCTTATTCCAGGTCGACAGAAAAATGGATTGAAATTCTCCACTTCAGCCCATTTCCTTTACTTTTTATTTGCTGAGTATGAGGCTGTAGGACACAGCTGCTGGAAAGTCCAAAGAGCAGCCCAGAAAGAGCCTGAAGAAGTGAAGAAGATAGAGGAAAAGGAAGGGGGCATAGAGATTAGAATGGAAATGAGAAACAACCATATCTACTTCATGTTGTCATCTGTCTCTTTAGAGTAATTCCAAACAAGCATAATGTAAATCATTTGAAGATATCTATAATTCACCATCTGCACCTCATATTACCGTCAGCTTTCTGCAAATTCCTTGAATTTGCAGCTTAGAACTTGACACATTTTTAACCCCATAGATTTCATGTACTCTGTAAAAAGTGTTTGAGGACTGATTTTTCTAACTGAAAGCTCAATATCTCTGCTGCAAAGATAGCACAGTATAAGCCAGCATGAGGCTTCTCTGCTTCACTGAATTCATAAGAAAGCTCTTTATCTTGGCAACAGCACTGGCAGTAAGAATGACCCTCTGTGCCCCACACCCCCAATCTTCATCCCCCCTCACATGGGCGGGCCACTTGCAGTATGAACACTATGAAACACTGACAAATTTCCACCATGCTGAGGCAGAGAGAGACAAGGAGACAACTAAGGAGAGGGACAAACAGAGAGAGAGATGGCAATACTAAACAAGTCGCCAGAATTACGTGACCACTTGAGCACAGAATGGCATGATGGAGTACCCCTAACTCTACCTTAATGAGCTGGAAGCTGAGGTTCCTGAGACTTCCTTCTGAGCTCCCAAATCTGATCTCCTACAGCGGCACTGCTGGTGCTGACTCGTTAGGAAGCTGGAGGCCCACCTTGCTGTCACATGCTTTGTCACGTCGGCAGCAAGCTCATCTCAATCAAGTATGCTTGTCAACGCTGCCTTCAGACTGAGACAAATGAGAGAAAATGTTTGTTGTGTGGTCAAAAAATGGGCAAGTTTGGGTTTCCTAATTTGTCCCTAATGTCTTTTGAGCATGAGTGACCAGTGTAGAGATGAAAGTGTCGTCTGCTCAGTGTTTACTGGTATGTGGGAATCAGAGAAACCCCAGGCCTTTCCATCAGTCTGAATTCATAATTCTGTGACCTGGGCCTGGGTGGGTGGGTTTCCATGAGAGGCATGCTTATCAAAGGAAGGATGCCCACCATTTCACTCTTGAACCCTGGTGAAGCTGGGAATGGCAGGAGGAGGGGGCACTTCCATGACTCTCACTGTTTGGCTGGCAGGGGGTCCAGTGCAGGGTGTGTGCATATGTGGCTGGATGGGGTTCAGGAAGTTGCTGTGATTTCCCCAAGCTGTATACACACTTCCTTCCAAACCTCTTATCCCTTTCCTGAACCTCTCTAATAGTATACTTTGAATTACAGTATTAACATCCTTGACTTAACTCCCATTTCCTTTTGCAAGCTCCTGAGGACAGGACCACGTTTGAGTCACTCTTCCCCTGTAGAATTCAGCCCAGAGCGTGGCACACAACACCGGTAGCTGCTGTAATTATGGTTGTCATGGATGGAATTATGTCCCCCAAAAAATATGTGTATCAGTTTGGCTGGGCCATGATTCCCAGTATTGTGTGGTTGCCCTCCATTTTGTGATTTTAATTTTATGTTAAAGAGGATTAGGGTAGAATTGTAATACCCTTACTGAGGTCACATCCCTGATCCAATGTAAAGGGAGTTTCCCTGGGGTGTGGCCTGTACCACCTTTTATCTTACAAGAGATGAAAGGACAGGGAAGCAAGCAGAGAGTTAGGGACCTCGTACCACCAAGAAGGCAGTGCCAGGAACAGAGCATGTCCTTTGGACCCGGGGTCTCTGCATGGAGAAGCTCCTAGTCTGGGGGAACATTGATGAGAAGTCCGACAGAGAGAGAAAGCCTTCCCCTGGAGCTGACATTGTGAATTTGGACTTCTAGCCTACTTTACTGTGCGGAAATAAACTTCTCTTTGTTGAAACCATCCACTTGTGGTATTTCTGTTATAGCGGCACTAGAAAACTAGGACGATGGTAATGGTGATGATGATGATAATGGTGAGGGTGATAGTAACTAAGTAGAACTGCCCCGTAGGGTTTCCAAGGAGCAGCTGGTGGATTTGAACTGCTAACCTTTTGGTTAGCAGCTGAGCTCTTAACCACTGCGCCACCAGGGTTCCAACTACCATTTGTCAAATATTTCCTTTGCGTCATGTGCCAAGCTAAGCACTACCTGTATTCACCTTAATCCTCACAACTGCTTTAAGGAAAGAGGCATTCTTTTCTCAGTCTTGCAGTTGGTAAAAGTGAAGCTCAGGAGATTAGATGGCTTGTCCAAGTCACACAGGTCACACAGAACTGTGCTGACAGTGATTGGACCAGCCTCCCAAACCAGCCTTCTTTTCCCTTGTTTTTACCCAGCAAGCACTTGTGGGACGGGTGGGTGAGTGGATTCTACCTCTTAGCACCTGGCAACACTATGGGTTCAGGAATATGCCTAGAGGAATATCATTTTAATTTAAATTTCCAAAAAACTTTTACAGTAGTTCTCAGCTGCTTCATACACATGGTAGACCACACCAAGGAAACCCAAAGTGGACTTCTCTGAAACATCATTTGAGGAATTCATGTACAAGGAGTGTCCATACCATGAGCTGGAAATTGGTAGATGTTCATACTACTAGGTTTTTAATTTCCAGATTTGGATGACTAGAATCTTAAAAATGATTAGAAAACCCAATATTATAAGTATGTTGAATTGAGGCTTAAAGCATCTTCAAAATAGGGGATTTGAAACTGTAGTAGTAGTTAGGAGCCCTGGTGGCAAAGTGGTTAAGAGCTCGCTGCTAACCAAAAGGTCAGCAGTTCGAATCCAGCAGCCACTCCTTGGAAACCCTATGGAGCGGTTCTACTGTGTCCTATACAGTCACTATGAGTCAGAATCAACTCAGTGGCAACAGGTTTTTTGAGTAGTAATTGCAGAAGCAACTACTTTAAGCAACTACTTTAATGGCTTTAAGGAAAGAGGAATTATTTTTTTCAGTCTTGCAGTTGGTGAAAATGAAGCTCAGGGGATTAGATGGCTTGTCCAAGGTCACACAGATCACACAGAGTTGTGCTGACAGTGATTAGACCAGCCTCCCAAACCAGCCTTCTTTCGCCTTGTTTTCATCCATCAAACACTTGTGGGACATGTGGAAAACAGTACAGTCAGAATGCCCCTTAGAAACTAGGATGGTGAGACTTCCTCTCACATACTCTGGACATGCTATCTGGAGGGACCAGTCCCTGGAGAAGGACATCGTGCTTGGTAAAGTAGAGGGTCAGTGAAAAAGAGGAAGACCCTCAATGAGATGGATTGACACAGTGGCTGCAACCATGGGCTCAAGCATAACTCCAATTGGGAGGATGGCGCAGGACCAGGCAGTATTTCTTTCTGTTGTACGTAGGGTATCTGTGAGTTGGAACCAACTGGATGGCACCTAACAACAACAGTTGCAGGAGAAGCAGCAATAGCAGCCACAAACACTTCTATACCAAGCCCTATTATTATTATCCCCATTTCACAATGGCTTAGAGGTTAAATGACTTGCCAAAGCAGAGGTCACTCAGCTTGTAAGCATCAGAGGTGGGGTTCAGACCTAGGTAGCCTAGCTTCAGAGTCTAATATACTCTACTTACTCTCTCTTTGGAGAATTGAAGACACAAAAGAGGAACCCACCATGAGAGTACTTTTTCCTCACTGCTCGTTCTCCCAACTCCCAGATCCTCATTATGAGGTGGACACCCTCACCATGAGGCTGTAGCAAGCTTTCTGATGACTCTGTAGTGTCTGTGATAGTTTACAGAGGACCCGTGTGACTTGTGAAAACTGATGTTTTCCGTTATTTCCACTCCCACTGTTGTTTGTGCTACCTACTGAAATATTCTTTTTTCTTTTTTATCTTAATTTGGTTCATAGCATCAAACGAACCAAAAATAGATTGTTTATCCCAGTCTACTGCACCGATTACATTGTGCTATAATTTTATAATGTGTTGTGTAAAGCCTGGTTTGTCTTCTAACTGGAGCTCTCCAACCCGACTGTAATTAAAGGCCCTTTGAGTGGATGGTCCAGGTGAGACTACATCCCTAGCAAAGAGAGGAGAGATGCTTGTAGGCACATTAATGAGGTGTTTGGATGCGGATCCTCAGCCCCCAGTGCTGTGACCTGACCAGGTGTTCAGAGATGGCCCTTCTGAACGGGAGTTCAGGCTGTGCTTAAGATTGACACTTACACCCAATTTGTGGGAGATTGCTCCAGGGGCTGTTTTGTTGTGGGAGCATTTTGTATTTCTCTCTTTCTGTCTGAGTCTTTCTCCCTCTCCTTCTAATGAATCTTATTTTCTCTTTTTCTAAAAAAAAAAAGCAACTGATCTCAGCTTTTCTTTAATGTTATCTACTACTTGAACAAAATTAAACAACTGGGTTGGCAGGTAAAGTCACATCATTTAGAAATTTTAAAAAATCTTAGAGATAATCTCCAATCTCTTTGACAGAGAAAACTGAGTCACAACGAGTCAAGTGATTGGCCCAAGTTCATATGTAAGAGCTGAAATGAGAACCCATACCAACCAAAATTTCCTGAATTCCAGCTCGTTACACTAAAATCTATCCCCAAAGGCCAAACCCAAATGTTTTCGAAAATAACAAGACATGGGAGTCTGAACCACTTATTTTAAATTCACTTATGGCTGCATACCATAGCCAGATCCCAGGACATACACTACGATTGACTTAAAATTGATCATGTGCTCCAAGGGAGGTATAAGAAGAAAATATGAATGGGCAAGATTTTAAAAATTTATGGTTTATGGACCCACACCACACCATTAAGGGAGCTCTGAGTATGCTTCTAGGACAGACTTAACTTTTTTGAGAGTCTGAAAGTTAAAAAAAAAATGTGTTTTCCCATCATATTTTGATGGTGCCATAGTCAGAGGTAGAACATTAAGATTTCTAACAGGTTTACGGTTATTCTAGGAGTGAGGACAACTCGGCCTTGTTTGTCGTGGCAGGTTGTGATATAGAAACAAAGTGTGGAGGGAACAGGTCTTCCTTGGAAAATTTATTAATGAGCATGGGGAAAATAGGTTGAAGGCTCACTGAAAGACATGTTGGTCAGCGCATGGGCTAGCGAACACAAGGCTTTGCAACTGCAGAACAGTGCTATTAAAGGAATAGCATATAAAAATGGTTTAAATCGTCAGTAAAGGAGTTGGAGTAAAAAAAGGCCTCCATATAAAGCCCTTGGAGTTTCCATTGAAGGTTGTTGGAAGAGATATTCATTTATGGGGAAAGCTGCCTTTTGGAGTTGCAATGAACACTAATGCAGCAAAAGATTTAAATTGACACTTCTCCAAAGAAAACATTCAAGTAGCCAGTAAACACATGAAAATATGCTTAACATTATTAGCAATGAAGGAAATGAAAATCAAAACCACAGTGAGATACCACTTCATATCTATTAGAATGGCTATAATAAAAAAGGAAGACAATAACAAGTGTTGGCAAGGATGTGGAGATATTAGAACCCTGGTACATTGCTAGTGGGAATGTAAAATGGCATAGCCTCTTTGGAAAACGGTTCGGCAGTTCTACAAAAAATTAACTGTAGAATTATCATATGACCTAGCAATTCTACTCCTAGGTATATATGCAAAAGAACTGAAAACACATGTCCATGTCCATACATAAACTTGTACACCAATGTTCATAGCAGCATTATTCATAATAGCTAAAAGATAAAAAAAACCCAAATGTCCAGCAACAGATGAATGAATAAACAAAATGTAGCATATTCGTGGAATATTTTCTTCGGCTGTAAGTAGGAATGAAGTCCTGATACATGCTAAAACATGGATGGACCATGAGGGCGTTATGCTACTTGAAATAAACTAGATACAAAAGGCCACATATTGTATGATTGTGTTTATGTGAAATGTCCAGAACAGGCAAAGCGACAGAGACAGCAGTAGATAGATGAGTGGTTACCAGAGGTCGTGGGGAGAGAGGAATGGGAATGGGTACAGGGTTTCTTTTGGAGTCCTTGAAAACGTTTTGCAATGAGACAGTGGTGATGGCTGCACAATTCTGTGACTATAGTAAAAAACCACTAATAGTACACTTTGAAAGGGTGAATTTTATGGTATGTGAATTATTTCTCATTAAAGCTACTATTTAAAAAAATGCAAATAATATGAAATATAGAACTTGGCCAATCAATGGAAAGAAAATTGAAGTGCCTATTTTGGGTGTGCATTTCAGAGATGTCTGGGGCTATTTCAGTCCTCGGAATTTGACACTAAACATCATTTTAGGGCCGCTCGGTTGAGTCTGGAGATTCAACTTTTGTCCTGCATTTGTGTTTCTGCCCCCTCCAGAGTGATGATGCCTTCCCTGAGAGCGTCCTGACCTACGTGGCTGGAATCTCCAAAGGCAGTAGTTCCGCCCTGACCTACCCTCCCATGTCTCGCGCCAATCACCCCGAGGATCTGGCGCGGCGGACCCTCGGCCCGCTCCAGCCGAACGAGCTTAGTGCTAAGGTGGACAGCGGCGTGGACAGACAGAACCTGATCGCCGCTCTCAGCACCTACGCGGCCCAGAGGCCTGCGGCGCCAGTCCTGGGCAGGGACTCCACGCTCCCCGCCGGCCGCTCTGACCAGCTGCCCCCTGGGAAGGACGACCTAGGGGTGCTGTACCTGCCGCAGGCGCGTTTGAGAGCGCTGAGGCCGGTCTCGGCGTCCACAGCCCTGCAAACGTGGCCTTCCGCTCTGGGAGATCCCAAAGAGCCCCTCAGCGCAGGAGATGGTAAATGCCTCACTTCCCTTTGGTGTGTGTTGTGTCTGTGTTTTCCTGGAACCTGCTCATGGCCAGCCCGCATCAATATTAATTGTCCTAGTTCCAGTCATTCGTCAGTTACCTATCCTGTGTTCTGCAAATGCGATGCATGTCTCTTAGGATATTGAGGCAGAAACAGGAGTGCTGTGAGACAGGGAATCGACTAGAATCTCTCTCATTTTTCTGTCAGTTTTGGTAAAAGAGAAGGTGCTAATATTCGTGTTGTTAGTCGCCATGGAGTGGGTTCCAGCTCAGTGCTATCTCATCTATAACAGAAGGAACACTGCCTGGTTCTGCACAGTCGGTGGTGTGCTCAGATGCATTGCTGTGGCTATTGTGTCGGCCCATATCACCCTCACCCTCGCTGGCCCTCCACTTCACCAGACGTGATGTCCTTCTTCAGTGATCGGTCCCTCCTGATGATAGGTCCAGAGTAAGTGAGTCAAAGTCTCAGACGATATTCTGTGAGCCATAGGGTTTTCACTGGCTAATTCTCACAAGTAGGTCACCAGGCCTTTCTTCCTAATCTGCCGTAGTCTGGAAGCTGCACTGAAACCTGTCCACCATGGGTGACCCTGCTGGTAAACGGAATACTGGTGACATAGCTCCCAGCATCATAGCAACATGCAAGCCCCCACAGTATGATAGATGGGCAGATAGGTGGGGGGTAATATTCCTACCAAATGTGAACTCAAGAAGTAGGTCAGAAGTGAGCAGCTGAACCTCTCCTAAGGGATTAAGGGACTGTCAATGTGTAGTTCTTGCTTCTATTAAATTCTTTTCCCCTTGAGTTCACCATTTAAGGATTCTGTTGATGAATATGGTAAAACAGTAGGAAACATGGATCCCAGGCCCGATGTGGCCCACAGGTATGTTGGCTGCATAGGTGCTTTGTAAAGCTGAACATCAACATTTCTGGGTTTGGCATGTTCTGTCATCTTGTCCCACATCTCCCCACTCCTGATGGTCAAACACACAGCTGCTTCACATAGTCCTGGTTATTTGTTGTGTCCCTAAAAGGACCCGATTTGAAGCTAGTGACATTCATAATGCAGTGAGGGTAGAGTGTAGAATTTGAACATCCAAAGACTGGTTTTCACGATTTGTATGTGAGCTATCATCATGTTATGACCATCCCATGGGAGAAAGAGTTTTTACTGATGCCTTCTTCCTCTGTGGTGTATAAAAGGCTCTGGTCTGTTTATTTCTAACAGCCTTTCTCCAAGACCATTAACCCTTTCTTTACCAAATTTTTATTTATTTTTTAATATTTTGATGACGTGTTTTCAGTATTGGCATGTATGCTTACTAATTGAGTGTGTTAAATTTTTGGTTGGTAATGTGGATTTTGAGAAATATGATCTGGTAGTACAATCCACCAATGAGGCTAGTGGCACTTCAGTGCCACCAATCTGTGATGTGACAGTATACCAATGGGAACTAGATCTATAATGTATTGCAGGCGCCTTTCCATTAGGGCCCCTGTGAGTTGGAATCTACTCGATGGCAACGTGGGTTTGGTTTTTTTCTTTTTTTGGTTAGTTTACATAGGGAACCTCGGGTTTTCCAAATATGATGCAGAAAAACCAAAACAAACCCATCAGGGCTCCCTGACTATCATCTAGGAAGGCCGTAATTGCAATCCTTATCTCACAGAAATAAAGGAAAAATGGGCAAAAGTTTACAAACTAACACATACAGGAAGCATCACCTAATAGAATGCTCAATCTACACAACGAGGCTCCAACTCTGGTCTGCTGAGCTTCAGGCTTTTCAAAAGACACCGACCTTGATGCTAAATGCATTAGAACTGGAATACCATACTACCTGTGAGTTCCAGAGGCATAAAAAGTGGCTAGTCTACCATTATACCAATGACAGTGAAAGGGTTTTAAATATCAAGTGAGATTCTCATAAAATATGACTTTCTTTTTTCAAAATACACAAATAAAATCAAACAGGCACTTTTAGTATTGACTGAGAATCACATTAACATTAGCACTCTCTTTTTTCCATAAGTGAAAACCTAACTGAAGTTGTTTTGACATCTTTTTTTTTCTACATATTGTTACTTTTCATCTGTGAAGGTGGTGACTCCCCTCTCTCTCTCATGCTCTCTCCATCTTTGTCCATATAATCATTATGGCAATTTTTAAATGGAAGGAAAGTAAAATTATGATTAGAGGGCAGAACATGTGAATATTACTAATGCTTTCTCCATGTACCTAAATTGGGAAAAAAGGTGTATGAAGAAGCAGATTGTGCCCTTGACTGAGAACTGTTTGCACATAGGTATACTAGTAGTGAGGCTGTTATTCATCTTACAAGAATTTGCCCGCCTGAACTAGTGCCTTTTCCTCTGGCATTTTCCCCTTTGAGGGATTTCTTTTCTGCTTTAAACCTTGTACTACTCTGAGAAATTCCTTGTCTTGACGCTGATGCCTGCTGTACTCATTAACTACTAAACTCTATCAATTAGTCTATGTCTGCCAATTTGGCTTTCACATGGTTGCTATACTTCTTAACCTTCAGCTTAGTGTTGCCTTCATACTCTTCTATGAATACACTACTGAAGGTATCCTTCAGTAGTCTAATGACCAGTCAGTGGCCTCTTCTCAATTCTCATTTTCTATGATGTCTCCATGGCACTGGCACCGCTTTCTGTATCCCTCCTTCCTTTGTGCTCTGGGACTTTATGTGATGTTCACCTGTCCTCTACTGTCTCTAACCATTCCTTCTGTGTCTCCAATCTCATCTCCCACACCTTAAAAAAAAAGTCCCATTTATTGATTACCTAGTCTCCATGAATTGAATATAACTAGAAATATAACTAGAGAGCCAGGGTGCATTCATAAATAGAATATAATGAGCCCCACATCTTTGCTCATACCGTTCCTACTACTTGGAATGTGCTTCCCTTCCTCTCCATTTGCTTTGGTGTCCTCCCATTCTTCACATTTCCTGAGACACACTTATTCATGAACTTCCTCTTTGAAAGTCCTCTCTCCACATTCCAATGACCTTCATTATCCACATAGTTCAATTGGCATTTTTGCATTTCCTTTTATATATACTGTTTTCACAGCTGTACTGTATGTTTTAAAAAAGTACTACATAAAATATCAAACCCAAAGTAAATAGAGAAACTTTACAATGAACCCCAAGCATGCTTCACCCAGCTTCAATAAATGACAACTCATAGCCTCTCTTGCTACCTCTATACACTGTCCACCTCTCCCTACTTCTCCCCTGGATTATCTTAAAGCAAATCTCAGTTATGAAATAATTTCATATGTAAATATTTCAGTATCATATTGCTGAAAGTTAAGGATTCTTATATAAACCTAACTACCATAGCTTTATCACACATAGAAGTTAATACTTTCTTAATAACATCAAATATCTATTCAGTAATCAAATTTCTCAATTGTCTTAAAACTTTTTTTACAGTCGGTTCTTTTGAAGCAGGATCCAAAGAAAGTCCATTGGGTCTGGTGGATATATCTGTTAAGCCCCTTTTAATCTACACAAGGTTTCTCCTCCCTATCTTTTTCTTTCCTTGTAATTTTTTTTTTTTTTAAGAATGTAGGTCATTTGTCTCATAGTTTTTCACATTCTGAATTTTATTGATTACATCACAAAGATAATGTTAACGTTTTCTCTTTCTTCTGTATTTCCTGTTCTTTGGTAGCTAGATCTAGAGATTGGTAAACAGATCGTTTGTGTTCAATATTGAGCAAGGATACTTCATAAGTGGGATTATGTGCTTCTATAAGGGGCACAAGTTGTCTAGTCGTCTCTTCTTTTGGGGTGGTATTAGCAATAGATCATTTACCCTCTCTGGTAGATTCTCTGGTAGATTTCTACTTTACTGTTCACAGAGTGATCAGGGGCACTTTTCCTGATCCTCAGCAAGATAGGTTACACGCCCTGCTGACCCCTAGTTGTATGCTCTCATGGTATACTATCATTTCCTCTAGAATACTTCTCACTGTTTTTAATTGATATTTATGTGATTATTTGATAAATGTTTATCTCTTTTTACAGACTATAGATTAAAGAAGACAGAAAACTGTGCCTCTTATCCCCAACATTTGTGTCCCAAGATCCCAGCATGTGCCTTGCTCAGTATTTGCTGAATGAACCAATGATTTCATATAAAGTCTCTCGTTTTCTCTTCATATAAACATTAAAAGATGGTGTTATTTTCAACCTAATTTTCCCAATGAAGAAACTGAAGTATGAGAGGTTAAATGATGGTTGAAAAAACAGTACAACAACGGACACATAGACCAATGGAACAGAATTGAGAACCCAGATGTAAAACCATCCTCCGGTGGTCAGCTGATCTTTCACAAAGAACTAAAGTTCATTAAATGGGGAAAAGAGAGTCTTTTTTAACAAATGGTGCTGGCAAAACTTGATGTCCATCTGCAAAAAAAAGAAGCAGGACTTATACCTCATACCATGCACTAAAACTAACTCAAAATGGATCAAAGACCTAAACATAAAACCTAAAATGATAAAGATCATGGAAGAAAATACAGGAACAACACTAGGGGCCTTAATACATGACATAAATTTAATACAAGCCATAACTAACAATACACAAGCACCAAAAGATAAACGAGATAACTGGGAGCTCCTGAAAATTACACACTTATGCTCATCAAAAGATTTCACTAAAGGGTAAAAAGAGAACCTACAGACTGGGGAAAAGAATTTTGGCTACAACATATTCGACAAGGGTCTCATCTGTAAAATTTATACAATACTTCAGCACATCAGTAACAAAAACACAATAATCAGTTAAAAACTGGGCAAAGGACATGAACAGACACTTCACCAAAGAAGATATTCAAGCAGCCAAAAGACACATGAAGAAATACTCATGATTATTAGCCATTAGAGAAATGCAAATCAAAACTACAATGAGATACCATCTCACCCTGACATTACTGGCAGGAATA